AGACACACACACAAACATGTAGGCAGTGCCTATGTCCCCAGCACAGGGGACAGGGCTCTGCAGAGATGAGGGCGGACAATGCTCTTCTACCTTGTACATCACACCCATTCCATTCCACTAGTGTTTATCCAGAAAGGCATTCATCCTTGAAGACATCAAATTGTGGAGATCTGCCATTTCTCTGATGATTCTGATGGGTAATGGAATCAGAGGGTAAAAATGTGATTCTTCTTTCTGATTTGAATCTGTCTTCAGCTTCCATCCCTTGTATCTGGTTTTGCCTTCTTCACTGGATAAAAGAGATCTTTAAGGAACTTCTTCCCTCATTAAGGTATTTTTATCCGCTATGGTCAGAGCATCTCTCCATTCTTTTTGTGGCAAGCTAAATGGATTGAGCTCTTTAAGTCACTCACTGGCAGGCTCATTTATTTATTTATTTATTTATTATTTCTGTCTCAAATAATTTTTTGTCTACTTTTTCTGCTCTGACTCTAAAATGTAGATGTCTGATTGCATACATTTTTCTAGTGTCATTCTTCTGATGCAGTGTGCAGGGGAAGATACCTCCTGGCTTTTATTTGCTTTTGATATTCTATATCCATTTGCTCACATGACACAGAAAGGCACAGGAAATTACACCTGTTTGTCCACTTTACACATTCACACCCTGCTTTCCAGTCAGTGTTTCTCTCAGCTTTTTAGGCAACACTTTGCTCCCAGATATGGAATATCCACGCTCTCTTGATTTCTGCTAGTAGTTACCTGGAACAGCCCCCTTTCCCCTGAGGTGACACTTCATGCCCCTGGCCTTCAATAGGAGCAGAGCTAGCTCCTCCACATTTATCAGGCTGCTCACAGAGGGATGATGGGTAGGCTTGGGTGTCCCTGCCTGGTTCTTGGGGCTTCAGCTGGTGCTCGTTCTGCTTGTTCTGAAAGAAAATTGTGTGATTGCTCTTAGCTGCAGTTGGGTGATTGAATGACATGCAGAAGGAATAAATTACTGCATGATAAAGAAGAGGCACATAAGATTTGAGACAAAGAAGAAAACCTCATTTCCACTCCCCTTTGTTATTCTTTTACTGTGCATAACTGTACATATCACACATATTACCCTGAGCTCCTGTGCAATATTCCATCACTCCAGCAGAGCCCTGGAAGTACACTGGGAGGACACAGGATTTATCTTCCTGTTGTTTATCTAAGGACTGGATTATCCATAGGGGATAACTCCCGTGGAGGCATTAAGTAAGCAGTCAGATCCCTGCACAAGTTCATCTTACCCAGTGACCTGCAGCTCTACAAACCTGTCCAGGTATGTTATGCTGACCATTTAGAAACAGTGGCTGCTTTTTGGCTCTGTGAACAGGCATTCAATACCTGCTTTTGCCTGCAGGGGCCAAGCTCTTAATTCTGTCCTGGGCTGCTTTAAAAGTGGACAGCTGAGGCTGCAGGGGCAGGAGGGCTCCCTGGAGGCTGAGGCAGGACCAGCCTGGGTTTGAACTCACTCTGTGTCACAGCTGAGAGGCCTTGGCACCATCCTCCCTTTATGTAACCAGCTCTTGGCTTCAACTGTCCCTTGGTGAAGACCCTGCAGCAGAGCTGCAGCACCATTGTTCCCAACAGGAACACCTGTGACCCTGCTCGAGCCACTGTTAGCAGGAGAGAGCTGTTTGCAGCCTGAGAGCAGCACAGTGGCTTTGAATGGTGTTAAAAAGAGCCAGGGTGAAAAATAAGAAATCCCACTGTACCATTTTCCCAGATACCACAACCTGAGAATGCAATCGGTTTCCCCTTCCAGGGCATCTTGTCACTCTCTTCAGGGACTACCTGCCCACAGGGCACCCCTATACACACATGCCCACATGTACAGATGAGCACAGAACCCTGGGGGAAAGAGCTGGGCAGTCCCCTTTCTGCTGCAGGTCCCTGGGAGATACAGGGTGAGCCAAGCTGTGAGCTTGGGCCACTGGGGAGACAAGCAAGGGTGATATGCAGCTACAGGCTGGGTGCTGATGGGGATGTCTGGAGAGTGAAGCAAGAGGCAGCAGCTACAGTTGGTGGAGAAAGGAAAATACAGAGGCTGGGCAGAGGGTGTAGGAATGAGAAAGGGATAGAAGGGAATGAGGAGGAACAGGAAGTCTAGGGGCAGGAAGGTTCATGGTGCAGTAGGAGGATTAGGGAGCAGTCAGACAGAGCAGGAGCAAAGAGGGTTGTCCAGTGAAGTTTGGATTAGTTTGGGTTTTAAGCTCTGTAAGTGTGGAAGTGCTGCACTTAGGCTGAGTTGCTTGACTTGGTGTTCTGCTCCTGTGGTGAGACTGCATCTGGGTCTGGAGCTGCCATTGTTTGTAAGAGGCAGCCTCATAGAGTCATATTGCTTCCTTCATCCCCAATTCCCTGCCACATAGCCCATTGCCAGGTGTCATTTCCACACACTCCCCTCAGAGGATAACAGCAGCAGTGCCAGGTTGCAGAGCTAAAGCTATGGGAAAGACCTCTGCTCCCAGGTGCTAGGGAGCATTTTACTGCCTGCAGAGACCTTTTGCCTGGGCTGTGCTCTTATTTTCAGGACACACAACCCAGGGCTGTCCTTGTCCCAGTGATCTCAGAGGGGCTTTTCATCATCAGTTGGGAAGAACTTTTGCCAAGGAAAAAAAGGAAAGGAGAAGAAATGTTCTGGGCAGGAGGGTGATCTAGATGAAGAAGGCCTGACTTTAACAACAAAAGGAAGTTTTTATGATGTACCTCAAAATGACTAAACTGACAACACTGGATCTGTGCACTGATCTTCATGCTTCCTTCAGTTGCTGCACAGTGCATCAGACTCACATCAGCTGTCCTTTCAAAACTTTCTTCCTTTTAAACTCCAGAACTAATTTATAACATAATCCATCAGAGAATGGAGTGCTTTCTGCATGCAGTGAGCATGTCCCTCAGCTACACCCATGTGTGCATTAAGAGCCAGGACACGAGTTCTATAGGAAGTTTTTTTTAAAGCAAATCAATGAGTACTTGCAGCCCCAAAGGCAGCTGTGCACTGAAGCTCGCAGAGGAAGCTCCAAGGGGTGTCACTTCACAGCATGCTCTTTAGCTCCTGAGGTTTTTCTCCTTTTTCTTTGCCTTGTAGTGGCTGCAGCAAAGGCTCCATTATTTGGCAGCGTGGCCCTGCTTTTGTCTATAAATGGAAGCAGTTGGCCCATATCCCAGTATAACAGAGGATAGTTCTGTGCATCAGTTATGCAATTGGTAGCTTGATGACCTCATCAGAAGCCAGGGGAGGGCCAGGAGGTGGTAGGAAAAAGCCTTTGCCAGCAGCTCTGCTGAAGGCAGGCAATAAATATGTGTCCCCCTCAAAGCAAAGAAAGCAGGAGCTCAGTGACGGGTGGGTGAAGGCTTTGGTGCAGGAGCAGCAGAGGGATCCTTAGCAATTCCTTGACCCCGCCTTGGGGGAGACCCAGCCACTGCTGCAGCCCTGGCTCTTAGGATGCTGCAGGGATTGTGCTTGATCAGGTTGTAAAGTGCAAAGTGCAATGGGTGATGGGACTGGGGGAGAAGTGGAAAGAGGAACAGGGAGAGAACTTTCAAACCAAGATAGATGTTCAGAGTGGAAAGAACCTTAATATTGGAGAGATGCCTTTCAGCAGAGAACCCTTCAGGGAGCATCTGTGCAAAGTAGAGATGTGGACAGGCTATATTTTGTTATTTCCTCAGGATGGTCCTTGAAAACCTGACCTTCATGCAGAAAGGCTGGTCCTCATTTTCCAAGGTACACTCCAGCACTGAACTTAACCCTTTCCCTGACTGGGTTGGGGTGGGTGCTGCAAGATCATCTTTCTGTATGCCCAGATCACACAGTGACTGACATAACTCAAAAGCCCGGTGAGGCAGATGGATTTGAACCTCACCCTATCAGGTTTTGCACAAAGGATGATAAAGTGATACAGGTCCTTTCCATCAAGTTGGTAGTTTTGAATAAGTACCTGTCTCTATTCATCAGGTACAGAGGTTCTACGGACTCTTAACATCCGAGATAGGGACCGGGCACGCAGTCGCTGGTTTTCCAATACGGCATCGAGGGCGGCGTGGTGCCGGGCCGGGGCCCTAGGGAGCGCTGGCGACGTCGTGAGTCCCGTTTGCCCTGGCCGCGGGACAGCCTCAGGCTGGGCTGGGGTGGTTTGGAAGATCGACTCCCGGGAATGTTCCCCGGAGGCCCCGGGACGTCGCTGGCCCCGCTTGGGCGGGGCGGCGGGTGAGCAGCGCCACCTGCCGGCAGCGGCAGAGCCAGGCGGGCTCCGCAGATCCCCATCCTCATCCTGTCCCGCCGCCGGGACGCGAGTTGGGATTTCCCTCCCGACCTTTCGTCGGTGCTTTTCCCAGCACTAACAGGCAGCAAAATGGATTTGGAACATGAAGGAAAAGTGGGGTGTATTCAGGGGAGGCGTTTGCACTGATTCCTTGCAGTCACACACGGTGGTCCAATGCTGCAGGATGGAAATCTTGAATAAACACATAGTGGAGTTAAATCCTGAGGTTCTGGAGAAGAATTAGTGCTACTAGCTCCCATTATTGTTGTGTGCACCTAACGCCTTGGCTCATCAATCCAGGGGCTATGTTAAATTGCTATTATGAAGAGAAGGAAACAGAAAGGAAGAGAAAATATTCTTGTCTCCTTGAGAAGGGAGAAAAAGTTTAGAAAAACGTGACTCTGAAGCATGAAAAGAAATTAGCTCACAAGTTCATTATTTCACTATTAATTAATTATAAAGTGCTCCTGCTTTACATGAGGATCTTTGAATTCCAGGAAAAAAGAGGAACCTATTCCCTGTGGGCAGCAGTCCATGGCTCGGTCACAAGCCATGAGCATCTTTCCAAGGACTCATTTCCCCAAATTCCAGGCTTCACCCACAGACTCTGTGCCTCCTCAGCTTGGTGAGCTGTGATTTCCTGTGCCTGTGGAGTATTCCGTCTTGTAACAAGGCATTCCATCTCTCTTTGCACAGGAGCACCAGGTGGGATTGTCTCAGCCCACGGGGCCCATGCAGCCTTCTGTCCTGGCAGGCTCCAACAGCATAGTCACAGGCACCAGCTCCGGGGGGCCCTTCCTTGGGAGCCAGCCCCAGGCAGCCATCATGAAGCAGATGCTGATCGAGCAGAGAGTGCAGCTCCATGTGATGGAGCAGCAGAAACAGCAGTTTCTCCGAGAGCAGAGGCAGCAACAGCAGCAGCAGCAGATCTTAGCAGAGCAGGTACAGTATCCGTCTGTTTCCAATGCATGCTGGGATGAGCATGAGCGCTACAGACAGCGCAGCACCAGCCCTTCCTTCTAGATTTGGGAATTCTTGCTCTGTGGATCTTCACAAGAAGGTATTTCAGCAATGGTTGTCAAAGAAGAGGCAACTGTATCAGTCCTACCATTTGCTTGACAAATATTACCTGTGTTTCCAGTGGTAGGCTTGATAGTCATATTGGATTTTAGGCACTGGAAAAGGTAGCTCTTAACCTGGCATCTAATGGTGCATTTACTCCAGCAGAAACAGACTCAGCTGCAGTTACAGTCACAGATCCTCTCCCCTACTTCTGATTGTGGTCTTGCACTTGCAAAATCTCTGCACAGCTGCACAGGGATCTGAGACAAAGAACGGGTTAAAAGAAGACTTAGCAAAGAAAAATGTCACTATTTACCCAGACCAATTCCTTAATCTGGTTCATTGAGTGCCACTAGGAGCAATTAGGTGATACAAGGGAGAGACAGCAGCAAGGGGAGAACTAGAGACTGAAGAGGGCGAACACTAAAACCACCTCTGGCAGTGGAATGGTGGAAGAGCTGGACTGGAGCTATCACCTGGCTTCCTGAGCTCCTGTGCTTTGCAATATGGATGTTAAACTACACAGTCTGAATGGTGGTGTGTGCTAAATTCAGCTGTAGTTTTAAAGCAGCCCAAGAGAAAGCCAGTGGAAAGTCACACTGTTGAGTTCCTACAAGATCATACCCAAGTTTAAAGACGCAGCCCCCTAATGTTACTTAGATAATGCTCTAGTAGGTCAGCAGTTGCTTTAAGCTTTGCTTCTCCTCTCTTGCTAAGGAAAAACAGCTTAAGACCATTTGCTTAAATTTGTGTTAGAACACATGCATGCCATGTAACCACAGAAATACAGATTATCTCCCCCCTCCTTTCTCCTGTTGCTCCTGAGAAAGAGAAAAATTTACTCTCAGTGAACAGGAAGGATGATCCTAGAAATATTTAGGATCAAGATGCCTGAACTGATTCAAGCATGAACAAGTGCATGAGAGTGAGGATGCAGTAATGCATCCCATGGATCGGGCCAATTCACATGCATAAAGCCAAGACCCAGTCAGTGACTTGGATGCTGAAGGCAAGCCTAAAAGTGTTAAAAAGCCACCAAGGTGAGGCTGTCAAGTGTGCTGACATACTTTTCAGAGGTGAAAAGTGGTAAAGTCACAGTCCTCAGGCTCCTAGCTTTGGGGTAGTTCGTGCCTAACAGGAGTCCCTCTTTCTTTTTGATAGTGTGTAATACATACTTATGAATGCAGAGATTAGTACTTCCTTCTTTCCTATCTCTGCCATTCTCGTACCTTTGTTACACATCATTGGTTTTGGACACAGTATTTGTACAGCTGCAGATGATGCTGCAAGACATGCCCTTTCAGTAAGTGCTTAGCTGTAAGTAAGCTTACACCTTAGCATCTGAAAGCTCTGTTTTTATAATCAGCCTTTGGTTCTGTTTTAAAATATTCACAAGTATTCATAGAAAACAACCACAGAGGAGCAATGTGGTCTGGATTAAGGCAGCATTTTGCAGTCACTGCTCCCCAAATATCATTCACTGAAGCACAAAAGGAAATGTGCCTTAGTAATCCATTTCTTTGGCTCAGGAATCTTCCAAGGCTGCAGTGTTTGGGTCAGGATGCAGTAGCCCTTGCAGCTGAGTGTTGTAAGTGCAGACATGGAGTGAAGTCTTGCACCAGGAATACAAACCTCTGGACCTTGGCAGGACTGAGGGAAGGAATGTGTGTGTGGCTATAGTTGCCCTTACACCTAAGCAAGCAAAGTTCATTTACATCCCTCCCTCTCCTTTCTGCCTGAAGACAGTTAAGCTCATGCTGTAGAGCTCAGGATGAAATGGCTGTAAGTAAGGAGCAATGATGTTGGCCCCAGTGCATGTTCCTTTTTGAGCCAAAAAGAGTCTGAGTGCTGAATAGCCCAAGTGCTCTAAGGAGGAGTCTCCAAATGATTCTGCCTGTCTCTCCAAAACACCTCACCAGATAAGAACCACTGCAAGTTCTGCAGGTTTGCCACCAGTCCATTAATTAATTAATCATCTCTTTCTTTTCTGCTTTCTTTCCGTCCTTCATTTTCAGCAGATGCAGCAGCAGTCACATTTGCCTCGGCAGCATCTGCATCAACAGCGAAGTCCATATCCAGTGCAACAGGTCAATCAATTCCAAGGTAAAAGTCAAATTGTTTTTCCTGTTTTGGAGTCATTGCCCTTAAGGTAGCAAATGTGTGAAAGCTTATGCAGTTTGTGACTGCTAGAGTTTAAGCAGTGTGCCAAAAGAAGAATACAAGCTGTTCCCAAAGAGGAATGGCCGAGTTACCATATTGAGTAAAGTTTATGTTTTCCTTTCTGCTTCCTTGAGTGAAAAATGCAAAACTGCTTTTTTTTTGACATTTATTTTGCCTCTTTGACATCCAGACAACATGGATTTATTCATGGATTTATCTTGTTAGCCTCTATTCTTATGAGGTTTTTTTCCTGCTAATATTTCTGACTATCTTGGTTTTGCCCCTCCTTCATTCTCCACTTTATCTAATTCATTGGGCAGAGAATTTCAGAGAGGTCATGCTTATCTGGAGAAGGGACTGATAAATGTCAGGTGTGGAAAACACAGTGAAATATCTGATATGTAAATAGAGATTTTTTAAATTATCTCAAAAAAAGCGCAAGTATTATTTTGATGTGCTCCCAGGTAACTGAAGACTGTAAATACACTCATTTTGGCTTAGGAAATGAAGGTAAGTCAGAGCTTTTTAGGTGCAAAGCATCAGCTGGGTGTCTTCACTATGATTTCTGTATAGACATGAAATGAACACATGCTTGTGCTCAAGCACATGATACCATGTAGATGCAATAGAAAACAAGGGAGGCAATTCTGGACATTTCACATTGCCATTTTTCTACTGGCATATATCAGAGTGGCTTCTTCTAATCGCCTCCTCATTTTTATCATTGGCATCATAAGTTCTGTATGAAATTACTTTATTCCCCCAATAATTCATTTCCAAAATCAAGAATTGTGCATGAACAGCCATCCACTGAGATGCACACATACAATCTCTCTGCGTTCATGCTTCTTTGAAACACTGCCTTTGTATGTATTATTTAAAAGAAACAGAGAAGAGAGTTTAGGCTAATCTGACAGAGCAAGGAATTAATTTTCATAAATGAACTAATTTAAATTGTTCAGAATTTTTTTCCTTTTTAGTCACATGAATGTAATCCAGGTCAGTAAGTTATGTGTAAATGAGACCAGAAGATGCCCTAAAACATTGAAATCTGTTGCATTTCTCTTTTAACTACCCCTTCTGATCTCCTGTCCCTTATGCCAAGTACAGTAGTTAACAAAAGTAGTATGTAAACCGAAAGTAGTATGTGAAGCACTTGCTGTCAATAACAGGGACTGTTGTTCTCTTCTCCCCAGGAATGTTCAGGGATGTTGTCTGCCACTGAGGGACAACAAATAGGGACTGATTTAAGAACATTCAGATTATGTTGCACAGTTCTGAACTTTTAAGTAATGATTTTATATTTACACTTGGCATTCAATAACATTTGAGCCTGGAGCAATTGTGGGCCTCATACAGTCTGACCTTCACCTGCCAAGTGTTGTATTTAGTCAGTGACTCAAATTTGAAGAATTCGACCATTCAGTTAGTGACTCAAATCTGAGTGTTGTATTTGGTAGTGACTCAAATCCACAGTGAACCCATGGCATAATCTGAGCTACAGGTAATTGTCTTTATTTAAAGATAGCAAATACAGAAGCACTTCTGGCTTCCCAGAAATCAATAGCTCCTCCCTACCCCTGAAAGTAAGACACAAGCATGGTTATCTGTCACAGTGTGGAACTTAACAAGGCTAGGATTTTCTGGTTTCCCATCACTGGCCTAAGGTGAAGTAAAATGTGCTTGTAGTATTGATTCACTAGCACACTCTCCCTGCTTTAATTGTCCACAAAAACCCAATTTTTCTTTCCATAGAATTACTCAGTAGCAATGCTATAGAAAATCCATTCATTTATGCCTCCTGAGCTATTAAAAAAAATTATTTGCCTTCTGAGATTGACCTTTCCATTTTCAAGGATTACTTTTGAAAGACAATGGAGATATTTAAAAGGGAGCTTCAAGTGGTAAACTGCTTTGCTGCTAATTAAGAAGACTGGTGGAAGTTTTCCCATTTGCTTGCTAGAAGTTGAATTAGCTGTAGCTGAGGAAGATAAGTGCTGCTGAGAAAGCTCCTACAGATTCTCTCTTACGCAAAAGTGTGTTAATTAAGATTTATAGGGCTGTGGGCTTTTTCTTACCTTCCTCCCTTTTTGGTGCAGGTTCACCCCAGGATATAGTGGCTGTGAGAAACCAAGTAGCGCTCCAGAGCATGAAAACATCCCGAATGATGGCCCAGAACGTGAGCATGATGGCCATGGGTCCCTCGCAGACCCCAAGCACGCTGCCCACCACTGCGGGCCAGTCGGATATGGGCATGACTCCTTACAGCAATGCCTCTTCCGGCCAGCCAGGAATGTACAGCATGAGCACAGGGATGAGCCAAATGTTGCAGCACCCAAACCAAAGTGGCATGAACATGGCACACAGCGCAGGCCAGGGAATGAGGCAGCCTGCCTCTGGACAAGCAGTGGGAATAGTTGGCAATTTTGGTCAGAACATGCTGGTAAACTCTGCTCTTCCCCAGCATCAGCAGCAGATGAAAGGACCTGTGGGCCAGGTCTTGCCAAGACCACAAGGACCACGACTTCAAAACCTGATGGGGACTGTCCCTCAAGGAGGACAAAACTGGCAGCAGCGAGGCTTGCAAGGCATACCTGGAAGGACTAGTGGTGAAATGGGGCCCTTCAACAATGGTACCACATATGCGATGCCGTCTGGGCAGCCACAACTGTCCAAGCAGCACTTCCCACAGGGGCTCAATCAGACAGTTGTGGACACAAGTGGGACAGTGAGAGCCCTGAACCCAGCACTGGGGAGACAGTTACTGCAACCACTACCTGGGCAACAGGCAGCCAGCCAGGCCAGGCCGGTGGTGATGCCAGCAATAAGCCAAGGGGTCCCTGCCATGTCAGGCTTCAGTCAGCCCCCAACGCAGCAAATGCCAGGTGGTACCTTTGCTCAGAGCGGCCAAGGTCAGGCCTATGAGAGGAATCCCACTCAGGACATATCTTATAACTACAGTAATGGAGGAGCAGGGGCGTCATTCTCCAGTTTGGCAGAGGGCACAGACCTTGTAGAGTCCATTATTAAGAGTAGACCAGGGGACGAGTGGATTCAAGAACTTGATGAGTTGTTTGGAAACCCCCAGTGAATGGGATTGTATAGTCTGGAACTTTGGTTACGTTTTGTTACAACGTACATTTGAACAAGCAAAGAGGGAGTCAGATGTTCTCCCCATGCCTGGATTGTTGGGTTTTGTTTGTGTTGGTTTGGGGTTATTTTGTTTCCTTTTGTTTATAATTGTGCAAACCAAGCTGATCTGTAGCCAACTTTGGAAGATTCAGGGAACCATGAAACATCAGCATCCCAAAACTGTCACCAAGTAATCTTTGTCGCATGGCAGCGCCCACTCTATGTGTGTGTGAGGCAGAATGGGGAAACTGTAAAAGCCAGCTCTTGCATCTGGCTGGGAAAATTTGTTCTCTCCCCACTTAAAAAAAAGGCTTCATTACACAGTGGTGTGGGGTGGGCCCAGTATCTCCCACCTTACATGACTGTGCACATTGCAGCTTCCAGGGAAGCAGATGGAAGAGCTGGGGGCAAAGCCTACAGATATCCAAGGGCGATTGCACAGGCCCTGGTCAGAAAAGGGCTTAACCCCGGGGGCAAGCAGGTCTCAGAGAGCCATGGCCAGGCTGGTGGGGATGGCTATGGACTGTCCTAAGTGAATGCACAACACTCACATGACAAACCTAACCAATCAGAGGGAGGTCACTGTTTTCACTGCAGAGTGATAAACCCCACTACAAGCATAGAACATAAATTTGGCAGTGTTGTGAAGGCAGATTATGTGACTGCTGCTGGATACAGCCTAGTGATGGGTTAACTTAATGAACTGAATAGTCCCCTTGGGACTTGAAATAGTGCTTCCCAAGTCAGAGCACTTGGTATGGTCCAGCTGCCTGGGGTGTTGAAGGACTGAGGGGTACCAGGAGACATTAGCAGAGCTCCTCAGCTGGTCCCTCCCTCTCCTTCCTCCTCAGGATGTTCTCAATTTACTCCCTTCCCTCCTGTTCTTTCAGTGTAAAGCAAGCTGAGCTAGCTGCACTTTTTTTTCAGGCAAGCCACAAAGGGCCAGGCAGGAGAGGAGAAAATAGGCATGAGAAAACATACAGTGAGGGTTTGGCACACAGGAAGACTTTCTCCTCCCCTCTAGAAAAGTGCAGGTTTGACAGGTAGTATTACCTCAGGGTGTCTGGACTCTCAATGTGATGTGTTCAGTTTTAAACAGATGTTTGATCTAATCTCTAAACCAAGTTTGCTGGAATAAAATTCACTGCAGTATTTAAAGAACAGCAGTCAGTGAAGAACTACTGTAAAGAACATTAATGAGTGGGTAAAATAATTGATGTTACAAACATGGGATCTGCCCAAATAAGGTTTTAGACAATAGGGATGTATCACTCTCTCCACTGTTCGGACCAGTGCTGAGCAGCCCTGTCATGAAGTTGTGATAGATCTCACACAACACTGAATTCTCCAGCCATTCTGTGTACAGCAGGGCCCCCAAACTGCAGTTCAAGGCTATTTTCTGGAACCTATTAACTCTATTTAGAGTTTTCAGCTGAGAGCTGCCTATCAGGTTATATAGTTGTGCATATAAAAAATGTTAACATGACCCACAGTCCAGAGCTTTAGCACCCTCTTGGCCTAGTGCTGGCCTCTGTGAGCCATGAGTTGTATTCTGCAGCAGTGTACTAGTGCCAGTCCCAGTTCCCTAGCTCCTGATCACCTCCTTTTGTGCTGCTCTCTCTGGGCCCAGGGATGCCAAATGCTGAGCCCCTGAATTCCATGGAGGCTGAGGGCCTTGGGACTTGGCAGTTTCACATCAGCCTTTCCCTGTGGAGCACAGGCATGCATCACATTAAAGAGGGAGAGCAAATGAGTCTGGAACCGTCTCAGTGCTCCACTGAAGCTCCCTTTTGAGCAATTTCCCTTGCTGGGCTTGCCTAGTGGCAGGAATTACCTGTTTCAAATGCTGCAATGCAGCAGGGCAACCTGCATTTTTAATGTGCTCAAGATGAGCCATCAATCCAGCCTGCCCTGACAGCTACATTTTTTAAAATGGCTTTAATCACATCTCTTTTAGCTGACCCTTTTTAAAAATCAGCACAAGGGCAAATTCCAGCTCCTGCTGAGGATGATGAGCATGGTTAGCATGCCTGCTGCTTCAGTAGAAGCCGGGTTGAGCCCTAATTCAGTGAAAGGGAGCACCAGCCTGGTGTTTCTGGTTCATTCTGTGGGTCAGCATCTCTTGGTCAGAATAGAAGGGATAGGCAAACATTAGGAGAAGCAGTACCCTGAAGGGACCAGGTGCTGTGGCTCTGTGTGTGTCAGCATGAGCACGGGGCACACACCTGTGTGACAGAGTTGTGACAGGGTGAGGAGGCAGCCACCCTGCTAGGCAGGGGACAGTGCTGGGGACAGCACAGCACCTGTGCCTTGGGTGAGAGCAGCCTCTCCACACAGAGGTGGGAAAGGGGAACATAGAAACACAAATCCATCGCACAGCAGCCAATGCAAGCCAGTGTGCAACAGGGAAATACAGGCCTTGGTGATAAATGGCCATGAAGACAAGTCTCTGTTGTCTTTATAAAGCTTCCTCCAAATACTCCATGCTGGGATCAAGTACTAGAGAAGAGTTTATTAGATTTGGGTTGATTGGGGTTTTTTTCTTACTATGGTGCTGATGTATATGTGATGTTTAAAAAAAAAAGTCATTTGTAAATATGTTTTTACAATTCTACAGATATCACTGGGTCTACTATCTGTAAAATATATGCATATATATATGCATATATATATATATATATATATATACACTCTATTTGTTTAAAATAGAGTATTTTTATTTCATTCCTTGACGCATCCTTACTGCAGTGGTATTGCACTTCAAATGGCATCCAATTACTAATTTGTACTGTATCCCTGACAGCAACTTGCTCCATTTTATTCAGATTCTTCTAGTTTTCTGGTTTTACTTTGTACATTAACCATTGCTTATTTCCTTTTAAGACCTGTACAGAATCTGAAAACATAGAAAAATACCTGATGTTAACACACCACTTTTAAAGAAAAAGAAACAAAACAAGAACAAACAAACAAAACAAAAGAAACCCAAATAAAAGATTATTATATGAGTCATATACCTGGTGTATACGGATCATGTCTTGCCCCAGTCTTGTGCCTCAGTGAGCAGTCTTCCATGGAGGGGAGGGAAGTGCATGCAGGCAGGTCTGAATCAGCCCTGGATTTTCTGTATGGCTGTATCAGAGCACCTGGTGGAGTTACAGGTGTTAGACCTCAGCAGTAACAGGTTGGATAAGGCCCATCCCTGGATGACCCTCTTGCTTCAGCAGGTTCAGCAGCTAGTGAATCTCTGCATCCCAGGCAGCCCCAGCAGGTGTCTCTGTGCAGCAGAGCCCAGACTGCTGTGATGAGCTGCTGGATGGGATGTGCTTCACCACCTTCTGCCATGGTGCCCCTTTCTCCAGCAAGGTGCACTACCAAAGCTTCCTGTGCTCTGAGGAGCAGCCTGTGCTCAGACATATGCTACAGGGAAGTTGGTCTGTAATTTGGTCTGCTAGACGTGGCAGATCCAACCTTTTGCATTAATTCTGTGCTGGGAGCAAAAACAGGGAGTAGGGAGGTGCTTTCAGGGGAGGAGACAACGTGGAAAAGAGGTGGGGGAGAAGAAGGGAAATGTGTAGCTGGACATAGAAGTTGGAGAAAATAGGAAAACAGGAGAAAGGTAAAGACACATACCACTACAACAGTGTGAGAGTTGGGCTGTCAGAAGCCTTTTGGAATGTGCACATAGATCTGTTGGACATGCATGGCAGGGGAGGGGAGGGGAGACCAAAGCACTAAAACAGGTAAGCTTGGAATCATTTCAGAGGCAAAGAAAGACCTATTTGAATGAGTAGGTGACCTTTGGACCTCCTCTAATCTGTATTTCAAGTCTGTTACATAGTTTAGAGCTTTGTCTTGGTTTTGGTTCTGGCAGCAGTGCTTCCTGCTGCCTGTGTGTCCACGCTTGAAGGAAAGGTGTCTGCTAAGGAAGGCAGAAACCTCCCTTAGAATGGAAAATTTGACCCTCTACCCTCCAAATTATTGTAACATTGAAATTAGATGGCTTTCAGGCAAAGATAGGGAAAAAGGAATAACACTACTTCACTAAAAAATATATATATAAAACATGGCAAGAAACAACAACACCAGTACAGCAAACAGAGCAGAGCCAGAAACCCAACCGCAGCCTTCTCTGGGCTGTCAGGCACTTTCCCCTTCGGTGCAGTTCCGGGCACAGCCGGCAGGGGCGCTGGCGGCTCCCGGCCGGGCGCGATGATTCCCCCGCGCCGGCAGGGGGCGCTGTGGCGCGAGCTCAGCAGCCTCTCCACACGGTCATGGTGGCTGGGCTGGCGGGAGAGGGGAGAGAAGGGACTTTCCTTTGCAAACCTACAAGGAGTTTATCTCAGTGCCCCTCTGGGTCGTGTAATGGACAACAGCAGAAACCTCGGAGCAGCAGCCTGGAACAGGAGAGGCGAGCACACCCGGAGTGGCAAACAAAGTGTAGCAAAAAATCCAAAGGCCTGCCAGGAGCCATGGGGGTCTGCACGGGCATGGAATGTCTTGCTTAAAGTGTAGCAAAAAGTCCAAAGCAGAAGCAGAAAACAGCAGGGCTGGGCAGTGGCTGCCAGGTTCCCACAAGCAGCCAGGAGATGCTCCCTCTAGGCAGTCGGGGGTCAGGGCCCTGGGTTTTCCCTGAGACCCCCACGCAGATGGTGAGGGTTCTTCCCAGGAGATCTGGTGTTGAAAAGGTTCAGTGGCTGTTCTTATGAGCAAAGGCTCACCCACGGTAACAAGAAGCAGTGAAGGACAGAACTCTGCAGTGGCAGCGAATTCTCCCTGCACCAGCAGCCTGGCAGCAAGACCACGATCGTCTCCCCTCCCATCCTGAGAACGAGGGCCAAGCCCAGTCCCTCACCCCCCAGCCAAAATCTTGAGATATCTCTGCACTTCCCAAGAGAAAGCCCCCCAGCAAAGAGACAGTAGCAAACTGCACCCTTCCTTACCAGCCACATCTTTTGT